TTGGGAATGCAATGAAATGATTTGTAATAAAAACTGCAATAACTACTACGTATTTCTATTTACTATAAAAATATTTACTCAAATATCTAACAAACCATTCACTTCTAACACTGCAACATATTCAGCGTACCCTGCTGAATTGTTTGCGATGCACTTGTAATTGCCACGATGCATGGCCTCAAGTGAGTCCACATTTAACGAACTTGTACGCTTATTCATTCTAAAAATGGTGAATCCATTTTCACCATTTACAACTAACGCTGAATTTATCGTCCAAAAAATTTCCAATGGCAAATCACCTTTAGGCACAACACAAGTAACACTTGCTACTTCACCCCGATTAAGTGGCTCCTCGCCAAAACTAAATGGACTGATCTGTGGTGCCACTTTAAACCGATAAAGTATTCATTTATAAATATGTAATAAAATTTGTTAAATGATCGCATTTAATTTTTAATTTAATATGTCAATGCAAGGCATAAAAAAGTGTTATTAAGTAATATTTAGTCTACTGAGATACTTTGCTGAATGCTAAAAAGCAACTCTAATAACACTACTCAGATTCGTACTCAGATTTGAATCAAAATCCAGATATACAAGACAACGAAACACAAACAGCACAAAAATATTAGTAACAGGTTTATATTACAAGTGAATAATCCAGACATAACTAAGTTCTAAATATGATTATTGATAACACAATAGTTTCCTTTACTAACCATTCACTAGAAGTTCAGCAGTGTATTCAGCTTTTCCAGCTGAATTAGCAGCAATACAGCGATATGTGCCTCGATGATTAGCTTCTAAAGAATCTATACTTAAAATACTAGTACGAGCACCTAACTTAGTTATAGTAAAACCAGCAAGTCCAGAAGTCAGTGGTTTAGAATTTAAGGTCCAATATAATTCGAGTGGTAAATCACCCTTAAATGCGACACAGGTTATGCTAAATGCATCACCTGTGTTGAATACTTCATCACCAATATTGAATGGCAGTATAAAAGGAGCAACTAAAAATTAATTAATTTAAACTTAATGAACAAAAACAAAAAAAAAACAATTCTTATTAAATACATATTTCAATGAAACCCTTTTCATGAATGAATCTAACCATTAACTTGCAATTCGGCGGTATATTCCGTAAAACCAGCTTTGTTATTAGCTATGCATTTGTAGATGCCACGATGTTTCGCTTCAAGCGCCATTATAGTAAGAGAACTGGTACGTGGATTCATACGCATTAAGGTAAAGCCATCTTCACCATTTATAATTGGTGCTGAATTCCACGTCCAGTGAATATTTAACGGCAAATCACCTTTACTAACCATGCACTGAGCTCCCGCCATTTCACCAAAATTCATAGGCTCGTCCCCAAAACTAAATTGCATTATTTGTGGTGGCACTGGAGCGAAATATGTTAAGGGTAAGTTGGAAGGAAATTATTAACATAAGAACTAAAAAAGTAAAAATGATAGCGAAGTGTGTAAAGAAGTCTACAACTCTTATATGTACCATTAACTTGCAACTCAGAACTGTGAAAGGCAGAGCCTGCTTTATTCTCAGCTATACACTTGAATAACCCACGATGATATTCCTCAACCGCAGCAATATTTAGCACACTTGTTTTCGGTGATAGTTTTAGTATGGTGATTCCTTCCTCTCCATTTATAATAGGTCGAGAGTTAAGCGTCCATTTTATAGTAATTGGAACATCGCCTTTTTGAATCATACATTGTACACCAGCGTTTTCACCAGTATTGACAGGATCGTCACCAAAAGAAAACGGTACTACCGAAGGTGGAACTAAACATGTGATTCCCCACATATAATAAAGTACACATATGTCATTTTCACATTTTTATATCTAATAAATATGCATCGGTTTTAAAATATGTATATTAACAGTATAAAATATATTCTGTCTTCTATGCGGATCTACATAGTTACTAACATGAGTAAGAAGCGAGCAATTATAATCTATAAACCAGATGTCCATATTGGTTCGGTGACATAACTTTTGGGAAAACTTTCTGAGTTAATGTTAACTAAAAGAAATAGCTAAATTAAAGTCTATCAGTGATAATCGCTTGGATAAGTATTTTTTAGAATCCTCAAATAAAAGTCAACTTGGATTTGTTGGTTGGCTTGTGGCTATTACTTGCATTAACAAACAGGAATATAACATCAAGTCGAAATTATAAATACTGAGAAAATGGTAACCTTTACATTTGGATAATTTGTAACTAAGGTGATTAATGTAAAATGTGAAGTAACAACAAAAGTATATCTCCGAGAATACATTATGCTTTCACATTGAATAATAGCCAATTTGGGAAGAAAGGTGAAAAATTTAAAAAGATATAGTCTAACTTCACTGAAGTGGAAAGTCGATAACATTTGCTGCATCAGTAGGAAGGTTAAAATAGAAATAATTGAAAAAATTGAAAATTAAAATATTTCTTATGCTGATATTTTTTAATTTCATATTAACCATTAACAGCCAATAATGCCGACTGTCTGGTGACTCCTGCATTATTTGTTGCTACGCAAGTATAGTTTCCTGAGTGTCTGGCACGTACAGATTCTATACTCAAGACACTTATACGTTGACTGTTACGTGTTACAACGATACCATCGTTTGTGAAAACTCGACCGCCATTTTTTGTCCAAGCGATATCAACCGGAAGATCTCCTTTATTCACTGTACAATATGCCGACACCATATCCATTTCGTTGATCGTCTCTTGACCAAAGTCAAATGGAATCACTTGGGGTAAGACTAGTAAGGCAAGGGTGAAACTCATATCAACAAAATATATAAGAAACCAAAAAGAAAACTATTCATAAAACAAGACTTCTAAGATTTTGAAAAATATTAGTAACCATTCACAGCCAGCATTGCTGATTGTTTTGTCACGCCAGCATTATTTGTGGTCACACAAGTATAGTTTCCAGCATGTCTGGCGCGAACAGATTCAATGCTTAATACACTTAAACGTTGACTGTTTCTTGTAACTACCAGCCCATCATTGGTATAAATCCGTCCACCATTTTTAGTCCAATATATATCAATGGGTAAATCACCCTTGTTCACAGTACAAGAAGCGGAAACCATGTCTAACTCATTGATGCCTTCCTCTCCAAAATCGAAAGGTACAACTTGCGGCAAAACTTGGGAATATAAGGACAAACAATTGCAAAATTATAAGTAAAAAATAACAATTACAGACAAAGAAAAATTTTTAATTTTGTAATAACCATTAATGGCCAATACAGCCCAATGCTTAATAACACCCGCATTGTTGGTAGCGACACAAGTATAGTTCCCCGCATGTCTGGCACGCACTGATTCTATGCTTAAAACACTCATGCGTTGACTGGTTTTCGTAATTACTATACCATCGTTGGTATAAAGACGTCCACCATTTCTAGTCCAAGCAACATCAATCGGTAAATCCCCCTTATTTACTGTACAAGATGCAGAGACCATATCCAATTCATTAACACTTTCCTCGCCGAAGTCAAAGGGCACAATTTGGGGCAACACTTACGGTTATTAAGTGGACGATTAGGAAAAAAAAAAATTAAAAACCATGAAAAAGCGTACAGAAATACAAAATATCTGAAGACTACGAGAGCAAAGCAATATCTAATTTCCCAGCATTTTCCCACCGTTAACACTTAATTCCGCCGTGTGAAAGGCCATGCCAGCAGAATTGCGAGCCACGCATGTGTAGTTGGCACGATGCCGTGCGTGTACTGATTCGATGCTCAGCATACTGATACGTTGTGTTGTTTTTGTAATCAGTATGCCATCGTTGGTCATCAATTTGCCTAAGCCTAATGTTGGATCAGGTGCCGTTGTCCAATAGAGTTCTATGGGTGTATCGCCTTTATTAACAGTGCATGTAGCCGATACCATATCATTCATATTAATTGTGTCAGTACCGAAATCGAAGGGTACAATTTGTGGTGGCACTATTATCGCAGAGAAAGATGTTAGAAGTAACAATTTTGCCGTTAAAAAACAAAAACAACCAACGTTGAATTATTATAATTTGTTTAAATCTTCCTAGTACATATAATATACACTCGACGCAGGAACTGAACTTTATCTTTATAAATATTAAAGTGTTTTCGAAAGAGTATACTTTGATAGCGAAATATGTGCTTTGGAGAATGCGATATAAGTCTACAAATACTGCAATTAAGTCAGGAATTTGAAGCATTAAATTTAAATTAAACCACAATTTGCTCGAAAACATGCTATAAAATTATGGTATGGTTTTTTATTAGTTGCGGGCCTTAAAGCGCGCTGCAGACTATAATTTTCGATTGTCATTCAAATTGCGGTCTCTCTTGCTCACATTTATTCTGGTGACCGAACTTGAACATTCAAGAGTTATCATTTAAGCAAAATTTTTGAAGAATAAGGGTGTTTCCGCACGCTGTAAGTGTGTTAGTGCAACCACGCAAAAATATGCTCTGGAATGACGAATGCAAGTTTTTGGATGACAGACTATCATTCACAACATGTTGGCGAGAAGCTGAATGAAATTTTGGTAAGCACGCCAACATGTTACCTGCGTGTTAGTCAAAGGTGCAGACTATCATTTTTAAGTGTCATTCCTAGATATTTGGAGCAGTAATTCACTTTATAAGAAAATGCTATTACTATATTTTTAATAGCTGCTTTGTAAATAGCGAAGATCTTATTAATATGAAGATACTTCATCAAATGTTTGAATAAACATAGAATAGAAAATCGAAATTCTTTTATTCAACGTTTTTATTTTTACATTTGTACAGAGAGTACATATTGTCACTAGCAATATTCTTTTAATTAATTGCACTTTCTGTAGACTACATATCATATTCTATAAGAAGACGGATGGACCATATTTCACATATCAATAGTACACAAAATATTCATAACAAATTTTCCACATTTCCTTTCCTTTTTCAAAAATGTGGTGTATGATTGAAAAAATTTAACTTACCCATAACTTGAACTTCAAGTGATCCACGGGCGGAGTATCCTTCGACATTTTTCGCAACGCAAGTATAAGTTGCTTGATCAGAGTTTCGTTCAACATTTTCGATAATAAGTGTACCATTAGGAAAAACTTTTTGTTTACGGTTGATGGGCAAAGCGCGATTATCTAAAACCCAAAAGCAAATGGCATTCAATAGAATGTGAGAAAAACTATTAGATTTTATAATCATAACATACCACGTTCCCAAACGATTGAATCAATAGGATATCCTGCAACTGGACATGTGACAATTAATGTTTCACCGGCTACAATAGCTTTCTTCTCCATTTGTCTGATATACGGTAAACCATATACGTTTAATTTTGCTGAGTGTTCCGCTACACCAACTTTACTTTTTGCTATGCATTTATATAAACCACCATCATTGGCATGCACGGAGGTTATGTTCAGATATGACACAACATCGCCATTTACGGTTACATATTGTCCAACTTGGTAGCGATCATTATTTGCGATTTTTTTACCATCGAGTTCCCATGAAATTTCAGGTGTTGGATTGCCGCCAGCAACACATTTTAAGAACACACTTGGGCCAGGTTCCATGGTTTCTTCTTGAAATGCTTGACGTATGACTGGTGGATCAAAGCGACCACCTAATTTCAATTCAGCACTGGCTTCAGCAGATTCCTGATCGTTGCGAACAAAGCATTGGTACATGCCTTTATCTTCCTTCTTGACTGATTCTATACGTAAGACAGGATCGCTATGTCCAATTGATTTACCATCTTTCATCCAACTGATAGTCTTAATTGGATTGCCGGTATAATGGCAGGTAAATACAGCAGGACGACCAAAGTCAACAGTTTGTGTTGGTGGATCAATTTTTGCGGATAGAGGTGCAGTAACGGTGAGTACGGTTTCAACGCTTTCGCCACCAACGGAATTGTTGACCACACATAAATATTTACCAGAATCGTCGACTACAGCATCCTTGATGATCAATGTGCCTGAGACTTGTTTAACGCGATCGTTCAGTACAACAGCTTGTTTCCGTGTAGTACCTTCAATAAATTTATACCATCTGTATAAAATAGAAAATATATTTATATTAGGTACTGTTGTTTTTTAATATTTGTAAGCAAAAGTCCGAAATGAAAGAATGAAATGCTTTGAGATGTAATAAATACGGTGCAACTGGTAAGCTCAACAATGAAATGATTAAGTGTTGTTGCGTTTCAGAAAGCACATAAATTTGTTCTTTAAACAACTCAAATAACAGCTACATAGAACGTTACTTACTCGTTTTTGTAGGACTTGGAAACTAGTAACTAGCTCCGATATACTTACCCAAATGTCGTAACTGTTGGTTGTCTTTAAAGAACCTTTAACGCGATTACATTTCATTTTAACATTTTGAACTGTTTTTTTGCAATCAGATAGAAAGGACCCTGGTACGACCTATAAAAGGAATGACATATGAATGACAAGATCATATGTTAAGAGCTGGTACAAAAGAAATAATATGAAGACACTTTGAAGACAATGACTTTTTTACCCATTTGAAAAGTATTTCTTAAAATTTAAAAGGTAAGCCTAAAGGACAACAAGATTACAAAGGGGTCTCCCATATCAATTGATTTCTGCAAAATATTAAGAATATGTTGGGATACTCGTATAATTCAATACAGTAAATAAAATATTGCTACAAGCATAAAAAGTGATTTGTTTATTACAATATTTTGCAATGTCATTGAGTTTGTACAAACTTATATCATAATCGTATAAGATACGTACATAAATGTCTATCATAGATATCTTTCATTTTGTGAAACGGAATTTTTTAAAATAATACAAAACTAAACATTACAATATTGCTCACTCTAGACAATATTCACCTATAAAGAGGTACTGGATAACCTTGAACTGGACAATGCCCTACAAATACATTTGATAATGGAACGTCATATATTTCTATACTTTTGGTTGCAATGCGAGGTTTAACATGACCAACAGGTTCTATAAGAAAATATTGTAAAGACAATATACAATATAAAAAAAGGATAATTTTGCAATAATGACTGCCCAAATGTTTTTTAATATTTAAGAGATCGTTGATTAAATGCATTTATTAGTTACCTAAATAACGACATAGGATAAGATTGAGCTTGACATAACATAGCAAAACTACTGCCCGAATACATTGTCTGCTCTTGCAAACGATCTCCAGATACCTTAGGAGCAACACTGCCGATTGGTTCTGAAAATTTATTTACAAACGTTTTAATAGAACAACAAAAATATTAATTACATATAGTCTAATAAAATATCCTGTTTTAATGATATCTGCTCTGGAATTTAATTCTTAACAATATGTAACTGAGAAAACCTGACAGATCTATTATACTGAAAAATTTGAGGCATATTGGTAGATTTGTTAGAATGGTTTGCTTTTATCTAAATGGGGGAGTTGTGTCGTTAAGCCTTGTCTACACCTTTACCACTGCGATCTTTTTGGGGATACTTTTGGTCTGTGTTTGAACAATACTAATCCGCGGTATAACCAACGCCCGTTATTTAAGCTCAAAGATGATCTATTTAATAAAGATTTATTGACATAATATCAAGAAGCTGGTATTCCTTATTATTCAATTGATAATTATGTCTTAAATTTAATGTCTTAAATTTAAATTTAAACAGAGTCTCGTCTAATTAATTGAATATCTCTGTTTTACCTAAATAGTGGTGTTGGATAAGATTGTCCTTGACAAAGCACAGCTAAACTTTGCATGGCTGTTCTAGTTAATTCCTGTAAGCGACCACCTGATATCTTGGGTGCTACACTACCAACTGGTTCTAGAAATTAAAATACTTTTAGGTTAGAGTAAAGTACGAAGTCGAGCTGAAATAAATTTTATATTAAACTCTAAATGTTGGGATAATATTGTCAAAAACACGGAGTTCAAGACTAAAATAATGTGGAGACGAATCTCAAGGCTTCAATTTAATTAAATTGTTATTGAATGATATAAAGTTTTTAATATCTTAATAATAATAATATTGGTAAGTTAATTCAGCAAAAAAGTATAGTATTATTTATATATAGCTAAATACCTTATAAAGGGAACTGGATAAGCCTGTGCTTGACACAACAATGCAAAACTTTGACCAGAATTACGTGAGAATGTAAAACTTTTAAGATCATTTGAAAAGGTGGGAGCTTTCGCACCGACAGGCTCTATAAAAATTTTAGTAGAATAAAAACTTATATAATAATAAATTTAATTTAAAGTGCAGAACCTATTGGCAGTGATTTCAGCTATATTTTTAACTATTATTCTGCTAGTACCTATATGTGTATAGTTACCGTATTATGGGAACTGGAAATGCTTGAGCTTGGCAAAGCAAAGCGAAACTTTGCCCAATAGTACGCGTATAGGAAAATATGTTAGAATCTGTGGAAAACGTTGGGGCCTTCGCTCCGACAGGCTCTAATAATAACACAAATTTAAGTGCAAAATAAATATATAATTGTAATCCAGAATGGTTTAAAAAATGCAGTTATAAAAATCAATGCTAAAAATGCCTAAATGTTGGTTTTAGTACCTGAAAAATGGCACAGGATATGCTTGAGCTTGGCAAAGTAAAACGAGATCTTTTCCCTGTGATTCCCAGAATGTACTACTCTTTGATGCTGTTGAAAATGCTGGAGCTTTAGCACCAAGAGGTTCTATAGCAAATAATTGTATAATTATATTATTTTTATAAATTAATACAATATATGAATATATGTACAAGACAAAACTATAAACTGCCTGAATTTGCTTAAGTGTGTACAACATTCTAAGCTAGAAGATTTCATTGAATTAAGTTCGAGGTTATAAATGATAAAGTTTTGATTATAATATATAAAGATATGTCCACCTGAATAAAGGTACTGGATATGCTTGAGCCTGGCACAGTAGAGCGAAACCTTGATTCACTAAACGCAAGTATGAAAATGAATTTGAATCGGTAGAAAATGTTGGAGCTCTTGCACCGATTGGTTCTATAAAATTATATAAAAGTTCGTTATAAAATATGTTAAGAAACAAATAGGAAAAATGCCTGATTTATTAATTTAATGATTATAAAATTTTATGAAAAAATAATTGAATCACCTTATAAAAGGAACAGGAAATGCCTGTGCCTGACAGAGCAGAGCAAAACTTGAGTTAATTGCGCGCACAAAGATACTGCCTTTAGAATCAGTAGAAAATGTAGGAGGTTTTGCACCAACAGGTTCTATATTTTAAAAAATTATAATTAATGCTATGCAACGATGATGAAAATTTACGTTTAACATATGCAGAACCAATTGGTAAGTGTTTATTTAAAAAAAAAGATTAGAATGTTAGAAAATCGTCAATGAAAGATAACTTGGTCTTCTTGCGAAAGTTTGAATGTCTACAGTTCGATTAGGGTCAATTGTTAGCAAAAAAGATCTACTACTCTCACAGTCCGGATGATATTGCGTTTTATGGCTACTGAAAAATATGCTACCACTCAAAGGATATTTTTCTAATATTAATGAATTTAATATTCTTGGTATAAATGAATAGTAAAATATGGCCTTGGGGTAAACCCCCATTAAAACTGAACAAGTATTTTTTACTAGAAATCATAAGCTTTATGTTGTTTCTCTATGTACCAATTTTACGAGGTATTGAGATGTAATTAACGGAAAAAGCAATATTTTTAAGAATTATATTTGAAACAATCATCGGTATAAATTAGCCTAACTTACGATTCACTACACCATATATTAAAGTAAAAATGGTTGTCTTTAGCACTTATTTATATCAGCTCGAAACAAATAAAAAAATAACGACTTCAGACACCACCGTACTATTCGTTTTATTTCTTATGACTATATCACTTTACAAAAAACAAATTCTGTGGTTTGAAAATCCTTATATCACTACTTTATGAGAGATTCAGTAGAAGCGTAATACCGAGTAAATACAATGCAAGGTATTCACATCCTTTCTGGTACAACCAAGTCTTGTTGTACAATGATTAGGAAAGATGAAAGATAAGGATTACATGAAATTATTATGTTGAAGCGATCCATTTTATGAAGAAGAATACTCCTAGTAGAGAGTACAGTTTTGGAACTGAAGTTACAAAACACTGTATATCTAAAAAAAAAACAAACCTAAAATATGGTACAGGATATGCCTGAGCTTGGCATACTAAAGCTAAAGTACTATTTTCTGGTGTAATATTAGCAAAGGATGTAGCATCGTTTGGAAATGATGGCCGTTTAAAACCGACAGGCTCTAAAAATTTTATTAAAAAATTTATGTTTATATTTCACATATTTATATTATATATCTATTAGAATGTTGAAAACTGCCTTCCCAATATTCATTTAATTATTTATATGGAAGATTGAGACTTTTAAGACATTTTTTTGGGACTTTTGTTTTTTCTTATTATCGTTAGTAAAACTGTTCTCTTTATTAATTTTACATTTCTGTCAGTTCTCTTAATATTATACTCTATATTATTATATCTGATGTCCCTTTATGTTATTATCACAGAAACATTACCTAAAAAATGGTACTGGATAAGCCTGTGCTTCACATGTTAGAGCTAAAGTTTGATATCTTGGCGTTTGTATGGTAAAAGTGGAAGCAACACTCGGAAAACTTGGCGCTTTGAAGCCTACAGGTTCTGAAGAAAAAAGTGTGATTTAAAATGCAAATAGTAATTTCAGTTATAAGGTTTTATATATATATGTATGTATAACTCACTGAAACCAATTATGAATGTTGAGGTTAATAGGATATTTTAATTACAGGTATTACAAAGCATACCTAAAAAATGGCACTGGAAAGGCTTGAGCTTGACAAACGAGCGCAAAAGTTGTATTTAAATCTGCACGATGTGAGAAAGTCTGCACTTCACCGGAAAAGGTAGGGGCCTTTGAACCAAGCGGTTCTTAAAGATTATTAAAATATGAACAAAATTTAAAAATTTAAAATGCGTTCAAAAAAAAGTTATTATTAGGCGGAATTTATTGGGATAGTGTACTCAACT